TAAAGGACTGAAACAGTGCGCAAGCGCAGCCGCTCAATGAGAGTTAAGGCACGAACTGTGCATCACTATGCAATGAAAGGCACTTTTCTGAAACGTATTGTCACTTGGCACTCGATTGATTTGCAGTGACATCAAAACGTTAGCGTTACAATCTCTACGGCACAAACTACACTGAACACATGTAGTTGAGAGTATGGGACATACAGCACCAGTTTGCGTTCATCCGTGGGACACTAAAACAATAACCAAGTATACGTATAAAAATAAAGTACGTAAACTTAGCTCTTCGTTGCTTTATGGGTGTACGGCTTTAAGAGACCATAAAACGTACCGCTACCTTTTGCACTCCTCCGTGTCACACCCAAACCAACATCCCCCCCCCCAAACAATATACGTATACAAATACAATACGTAAACCCAGCTCACCTTTGCTGTTGCGCCCTCTCATACCCCACCGCTTGGCCAATGAAAACACAGCACTGGCCACCTTAGACGCCACGGCTGAGCTCAAGTCCACATTTGTGTAGTGCGCCGCACCCACTGCCGTGTTGTACAGTGCAGAACAGGGGTCTTTGCCCACACTCAAGTGTCTGGGTGTTGGATGTTGGATATAGGGTTTTAGGGTTTTAGGGGTTTAGGGGCTAGGTATCGTTATATGATTGCGCGGTATTGCTATATTTGGGGTTTAAGGTTTAGGGGTTGGGGTTTTGGAATGCCAGCAAGCAGATGTCGCAGACAGTCAAGTTTGTTTGTCACTGCTAACGAATCATTTTTATTAATTAATTTATTGGAATAAAATGTAAACGATGGACAGGAAATTTACACATCCTTCTAAGTGGGACATATGTCGATAAACAGTCGAGTAGGGTTTTAACAGATTACTAAACCCTAAAACCCTAAAGCCGTAAAACAGACGAGTACGAAGAATAATAATTGTACGATACAAGCAGACCTTCTTGTGACACTGCGCCATAGAGCCACAGATAGTCCTGCTCTCTCTACTACCGTCCTCGTGTTTGTTAACAGTCGCAGAAAAGAACGCCCGAGACACCAGGCAGCCACCCAACTCACTACTGAATATATGCACATCAGTGGTAAATACCAGACCAACCTACACTCAGAAACGGACCACGATACTGTCAAAACATAAAAAATTACACACCCACTCGCACACCCCCTCCCCCCACACACACAT